CTTGAGCTTGTGTACCTTTCGACCTCCTACCTAATTACTCTCGTTCTGCTTGTTCTTCATATTCTTCAGGATTAACTACTCTCTTGTCATAGTTTCTTTCAAAGATAGAGGGGAAGAAAAACAGCTAGATTGACTTCTAGAAATGGCAGTCTAGGCATATCATTAAACATGCTTTTGAAATGAATGTGAAAACACGTTTTATCAGTGATCACCAACCTAACAAGCAATAACAAATGACAAGAAATTACATGCCAGCACAGGTAGTATGGGAAAGAGTTGTGTTTTTAAGAAATTATGTCCAACAGTTGGAATCAATTACCTCTTCACATATTTCTACAATATTGTAGAGCTCTTGATAGGAAATGTTTATACTCAAAACCAGACAACAAACTATAGTGTACCAGTCTCATATAAATCATTTTTCTATGTCTTTTACTTATTCTTTGAATAGGTGGTGAGATCTGCTGAAGAAGCTGCTTCCATGCTGGCCACTTCCATTAGCCCAGATCAGTGCATCAAAGTTCTCTGTCCAATTATCCAAACTGCAGATTACCCCATTAATCTGGCTGCAATCAAAATGCAGACAAAAGTTATAGAAAGAGTATCTAAAGAAACCCTTACTCAGCTTCTACCAGAGATTGTGCCAGGTCTAATACAGGTAAGGAGAGAAGAAAGAAGAAAAGAGAAGAAAACAAACAAACCAGAAAAAAACCCGTGTATACCTAAGAATTGCAAAGACTTTTTGGAAATAGTATCACTTGGTTCTCATGAAGGATTTCATGTGTCTGATTGTTGATGGCTGCCTTAACCCAAAATAACTCATATAGTGGGAACAAACTCTTTGATTAGCAAGTAGCTAAATTATAACTGTGATTAGTAGTCAAAGGAAATATCAGTGGGATATGAAGCACTGGTTATAGTTAAGCTTGGTAGATACTTTTAGTTACAAAATAATTTTTGTTGTTTGTACCTTTTTCCAGGTTATATAATTTGGTCTGAAATTCTCCATGTTGTATTTGTGTGTAATGTTGGGTTTTATCACTTGGGGTTTGGGGGAGGCGAGAGGAAAGAAGCAGTTGTTTGGGGATAGTTAAATAGAACAAGAAGAATATCAGAGGTTTCTCTTCCTTTGTCTTTAAAAATAAATTCTTTCCTACCTTATCAAGAGCCAAAATATTCCATCTGATGGATAAAGACCTTACAGAGTTGACAGCTGAATTCTGCAGATGTCTGCCTTTAATGGGTGTGATCCATACATCTATCTGCAGGAAGGTAGAGGCAGAGAAGAGACCCTCTGAGAAGGGAGTCTGAGTGAGACAGCCAGGCTTGAGATGCTAGCAAAGTGGCAAAAGAAACAAAAATCATTAAAGAAAGAGATGAGTGTTAACAAAAGAATCTTTAGCTGTTATGAGAGTTCTTCTTTCAGAGTTAGGAAGCTCTAAGCTGTGAGTTGTCTTCTGCTTTAAGTAAATATCTGTATAATCTAGAACAGTTCTCTTAACATGCTCCCCTATTGCATGGCAGCAGCTCTGTTTTCAGTGTAACTTATGAACAGGATTGTGTGGGTTTTAAATTCAGCCTGGAAAATGATTATCGATGGTGATTAATAAGCAGCCTGCTTTTTAACTGCATGCTCTGTGTCAGCAGTGTTTGTTTTGTTGTTGGAATGCTTTATTGGGCTACACTAGCATTAATTTACTGTACACTTTGATGTATTTATTACAGTAAATAAGCAAATAGCTTTCTGAGGCTTTTAATCATTAACTGATAAGGTATTAATGTTAACTGTATTGCTTTCTAGGGTTATGATAATTCAGAGAGCAGCGTTCGTAAGGCATGTGTTTTCTGCCTTGTAGCCATTCATGCAGTAATTGGTGATGAACTAAAACCGCATCTCAGTCAACTCACTGGCAGTAAAGTAAGTAAAAGATACCATTTAAAGAAATCTGGGTTCATAATTGCATGTATATGTTTGCATTTTGGTTGCCATTGTCAGAAAGTTTCAATAAATTATGTACTTGAAGGAGAATATCAGGGCTGCTGAAACCCTCTGAGCATTAATATAACTTCACCATAAAATATGGAAAACTGAAAGTCTGTATGTATTTTTTTATGCAAGAGTACAAACTTTAGCATCAAGATAATTACTAAGCTATATTTCTTACTGCTTTTTAATGTGTTTTGTTACTTGTATGCAGGTAGTAGGGATAATGGCTGTACTCAGTATGGCTTTTCCTATCAATGTTTCTTGTCTTGTTTTTTATGCAAGTTCTGATTGGAAAAGAAGGAATGTAATATGTAGATGTTAGATACAGAAGTTTTATTTATCCTTCCTCCTTGTTATTTTACTTTCATCAGTCCTTTCAGTACCTGTAATTTGAAATAATAGTAATTAGTCTGTGGTCCTTTTTGTTTCGGGGTATTTATGATTTTATTGACATCTCTTACATGCAGTTTTTTGCATGTAAACTGTTAATTGTGAATTTCTTTGTCCTTGGGAATAAAGCAGGACAATTAATTTTCTGTTATCTGTAAAGACTGTTATATCTTAAAAATACTCTCTGGCAATGATTGTATTTAAAGTGATTCTAGACAATATTGGAAGTTTTAGTAAGTACCAGCATCAACAACTCTGACTAGAGGCTTAAACCTTAATATTAATTTAAAAGAAAAAATCAACATAATCATCTTTAGAACAGCATTGTAATTTGAGGAAGTTATTCCATCTATCTTAATCTAACTACCTTAGATAATACTCTTCTTTACATCATTGAATAAACTCGAGCATTTTGTTTGTGACAAATTTTGCTTGTGTTTGATGTTTTCATTGGCAAGTATGTTCCCTTTGAATTGGCTGTGGAAAATATAATTTTTTGGGGGAAAAGAAAAAGGATTAATGTCTCCTTTGTACCATTCCTGTAGTCTGTCTGTACAGTTTGAAAATACTAAACAAAGTGAATTTGTCTTAAATTTGCAGATGAAATTATTGAACCTTTACATCAAACGTGCACAAACAGGCTCCGGAGCAGGAGATACAGCAGCAGATATGTCTGGACAAAGCTAATGAAGCTGACAAGAGTTACCCAGGTCTCCTAAAGCAAGGGGAAGGCCCTCTTCAGTGAAAGGAAAATCCTTACATACAACTTCTGGAACTTTTTTCTTGGGTTTATTTTTCCCCCTCCTTTGTTTTTTTTTGGGGTTTTTGTTTTTGTTTTTTTTTTCTTTAACGGCTGTCCTCAGCCTGCATGTGACTGTTGCAATAGAATTATTCCAAATCCAAGGAAAAACAGTATTAACATCAGTTGATCAAAGCAGAATAAAATTTTAAAATAATCTTATCCATCAGTTACCCTGTTCATAATCCTCTGTGTCTTCCCATTAACTTTTGCCAGTGTTACTGTATTAAAAAAAGATTTTTTTAATGCTAATTAAAAAGGTATGCTTTAAGCTTCAGAAGTTAAAATATAAATTCTGTTGCTTTACTCAGCTGCAGATAACATTACTTTTTTATTGCTGTTTTGTTTGAGTATCATGTCCTTCGCTAGAAACAAGAAGTGATGTGAAACAAGGCTGAACTAGTCTGAACTGCAGTGAGACTCGTTCACTGTGTTGGTGGTTCATCATCTTATTTACGGCTTGTTTGGGATATTCTGGAGATTGAGAAATACGCCTATAAAAAGAAAGCTGGATTGATCCAGTTCTGTAAAAGTGATATTGTTCATTGGTTGTATGTTTGTTGCATAAATAAGAATTTAGTGTGCGCAGCAGAGGACTGGTACAACCAGTACCTCTTAATGTGGAAGACAGCCCTCCCAGGGTAGCACTGCCGACCTGGGGATAGCGTGGCAGTCTGCTATCGAGCAGCAGAGTTAATGGTCACTTGATGGACGTGAACCATCCTTGTCACCTTTCGTTCTTCAAGCAGGATGCTTCAGAATGGAGTGCTCTGCCCAAGCATGCTCAGTATGTACTTATCTTTATCACTAGAATGTTTCCTCTCAACCTAATTGCTGGAACAAGTAGTCTTGTATTGTAACTCACATGGGATTTTATGACAACAGTGCAGAAAACTATTTATTCCTTACCTTCCTAAAAGCACCAAGATTTTCTGCATTGAATTTAAATGGGGGGAGGTGGGGGAATAGTCACAAATGCTATGGATCTTGCCACCTTTTAATTTAAAGAAGAATATATATTTTGGATGAGTAGGAAAAGCTGCACCAAATTATTTGCATGGTTTTCTTGAATAGCATCCTCAAGACCCATCTGGATTAAGGTGTGGAAATGTTTCAAGGGTTTGTTTTTCCATTTTTGAAAAAGAGTTAGTATATTGTGAATAATGGTTCTTTGTATTTATGAAGTTGATAATGGAAAGAGAACAAAGATAAGTAACTGTGTCCCTAAATGTTGTCTTTTTCTTTTTTTATTTTTTTTTATTTTCATGTTTTTGATATAAGCAGCAAGCTGATTTAACTGAGAAATGGGATGAAACAGTGCCCTTCCCAGGAATGGTGGACCTTTTTTTTTCCTGACTTTCTTCCCTTTGATTGTGATGTTGTCTAGTTGTAGGAAGTGTATCCTGATAAGAGAGAAAATTGTGGTGCCAAGGATGATGATCTATGCTAGGCTAAAATTCTCTCTACCTCTTCAGGGTGACTAATTTTTGACTGAGCTGCTGCATATAGCACCCAGTAGAAAAACTATCTACAGAAAAAAAAATCTTCTTTATTTTTGTTTTCCAAATTATCACTTAATGTGTATTCCGAACTCCGCTCTTCAACATTGCAGCCAAATATCATAAGAAACTACTTACACACTTTACTTGCTAGGAACCCTGAAAAACAAAACTGAATAAAAAAATTAAGTCAGATGCTTGTAGTTACATGAAAGGTTGTTTTTACTTTAGTTTGAAGTGAATGCAATAGAAAGAGCTAAGATGTGGTTATTAAAGAAGCAATGCCATTGCAGAGATTTATTTGGAGGAAAAGTTGTAGAAATATATGTAAAGACTTAAAACCAAGACTGTCATAACACATTGCTAGCCCTTTTTAGCAGCTACATCAAGAAAATAGTATCTCCTCTTTCTTTCCTTTGTTACGTGTAACATCCTTGTTGTTTTCTACTGTTTAATTACATTGTGTATTTATAGTTCTATGCTTACCATTGTGCATATACTGGCAATAAAATGTACATAACATTACTTAAAAGATTAGCAATGTATACATTCTGGTTTTCTGCTTTATTTGATCACATGCTATAAGAAAAATTATAAATGTGATTGATACAACATTGGTTTTAAAAAAAATTATCTTAATCTTCATGTTTTGTGTGTCCAAATGATGTTTCTTTATATACTCTTGTTACTAAATCTGACTTGGCATTTGAGAACATACTGTGAATATAGGTGTGCTAGACAAATTTTTTAAAAATTGAATAGAGTCTTTATGAACACAGTTTCCTTCATCTAGGCAGGTTTCTTGTTTATTATTTCATTTATTTGCACATTATACATCATTTGCATTTTATTTTTTTAATATTTAAAAAAATATTTTTCAGTCTACAATCCTGTAGTTGTTACATTTTGATTATACAAAAGGTCACTTAAAAAAATTGCACAAATTCTAAGCTTAATAGTCCTTCCTGTATGTTATTCCTGCATTTTCTGTAGGTAATATTTCTTTTCAGAGGATCATTGCAAGATGACTTTATTTGTCATCATTTTGAAGATGCTATTTCATACTGAAAATATAAGTTATTGAAACATACAGTATATATTCTGGATGGAACCTAGGTTTTTTATGTGTAAACAAAAGTTGGTAAGAAAGAAATGGTCCTGTATGACTGAAAAATTTTGCTCCAGGTGGGGGGGAGAAAGATATTTACATAAAAGTTTTTTCATTAGTTTTGCTTTTAAGCCATCTTTAAATGGAGATATCCCATGTATTAAAAATCTGAATGCAATATATTTAAATTAATATTTTACTCATGATATGACTAGTTCTGTTTCCAACAAAGTGGGGCTGCTATCTTTGTAAACAGGTAGAATCTGTTTATATTACATGAAGCCATCAGAATCTAAGAATTTGGAAAGAAAATTATTTCCACGGCAGCCAGTTATCAGATTCACTGCATTGCTTTTGCCTTCATTTCCTATATTATAAATAGACATTAGCTCAGTTAAATTCAAGCAGTGATTAGTCATGCCTTATGTTCCTGCTGGAGGTGGTTTCTCTAATGGATTAGCATAAAGATCTGGGAAAAACTAGGACAGATATAAGTTGCTGTTCTTTCAGAAAGGGGTTCTGTATGTTCTCTCTAATATCCTGTCAGGATAGGTCATTGCAGTCATTTGGATACCGAAATGTAAATCTTAAAGGTTGAGTTTGAGCTTAAAAAAAGAAGGAGAAGGAAAGCTACATGCAGAATCAGGATAAGAAATGCATATCTTGGATGTCTCAGACTTTGATGTCATTTGCTTTAAAGAATTTTGAGTAACACATTATGTTCGGCTGAAGCAAGGAAGTTGGGATAATAAATGTAAATTGAAAGGAGAGCTGATGATGTAAATTTTCCTGAGTTGGCTTGCTTGTTTGTTTTTGAAGATAAAGGTTGGAACAGATTGAGTTGTGTTTATTATTTGCGGTCTGAGTCCCAGAGCAAAAAGAACAAACATTTGTATCCTGAAATACTTACATATTCTTAGTAGTTTCTATGAATGCTTAAACATTTAAGTAAATTCACAAACCTACCCATGTAAAAATTCTATTGAGAATGCAGGCCCAAACTGCTCATGGTTTTAACTTTCAGCAGAGGAATTCAAATTGTGCATATGACATTGTCCCTTTTCAAACAATCAGAAAAGCGAAAATAATCTGGGGGAATAAATATGTTGAATTACTCTACAGTTACTCCCTATGGTAGCTGGTGAGAATGGTTCCACTGGCTGTGTCAGGTTGGGATTCAGCAAACACACGGAACACAATAAACATAAGTATGATGAGGATGAATAGGCCGTTTGGGAACTGCAGGATTATCTAAAGAATGACAACTAGTACTTTCTCCCAGTTAAAACAGTAAACAGATTTGTAGTTCCAGTCTACTTCCAGGTAAGATGAAAGTCAATATTCATACTACATTCACTGAAGAAAACATCTTAAATTTTCCTCCCTACATTTCCCAATTAAGCTTTTCAGCTCGTTAAAAGCACATACTTTGAAGATTTGCTTCATAATTTATGTATGTGTTCCACCTTCTTTTTTGTTAAAACAAGGAAGATTTTCAGTAATGTGGGAAGTTTGAGGAACTAATTATGCTAGTCAGGCAGGTAAAAAACTTCATTTACTCTTTTTCTATATTGTGTATACGTTTGTATGCTTAAGTATATTTTAAGACCTCAGGGTTCCCAAGCTGTGCAGCTTGGATTATGCCAGCTGAAGAAGTGTCTTCCTTTGCTGATAAAATTTTAGGATAATAAGTGTATTTACTAAGAAGTTCTCTACTGAAGGGACAGAATTGAAACTCTGTAAACTGCTGCTTAACCGTAATTCTTGAAAACTTGGAAAATGGTGTTTTGCAAGCAGTTTTGAATGTGTTTTCTATTGAAGATAAAAATTCTGTAACTCTTGATGTATTTTAGGTAGATAAAAATGTTCCTAGTGGGGATATTTTGAGGGAGTAAGATTTTTAAAATTATGGATAATGAAACATGGAAAATATTTCTTCAGTGGAAAAAGGAACATACCTTCATGTAACTGTTTGATATCCAGTTACAGGGATATCAGACAAGAGTTAGAAAGGTAACTAAACTTGATCTTGGACATCAACATTTTACAAGTTTTCTTTTTCAGTGTCCTTTCTTTCCTAGATCATGATATTGCCCACCAATGCTCATCTTTGGACCTCTATCAACTCATGCTACAACTAAGAGTGGAGATGGTTCTTGGAACTATATGTAAGGCTAGATTCAAAAGTAGTGCCCGTCTGTCCAAAAAAGATCTGTAGCAGTAAAAGCAAGCTGTAGATTTAAGTTATGCAGTAGACAGACATTCTCAAAAGTCAGCTAGACTGGTTTAGGTATTCCCTCACCATCTATTCATCTCTGCCCCTGGCAGAGCCAACAAAGTACTTTGTGGGAGCTCCCCTACTCTATTCCTCACAAATCAGATTGGGGAACAATCTCTGGTCCTCCAGCAGCACCCTGGGCTCACAGAGATGCTGGCAAAATGAATGAACATCTGTCCTGGGCTTTGAGGGTCTGCCTGTATTGTGGGGGGAAGAAAGAGAATACAAAAAAAAAAAAATTTAGCACAGTTTGTTTAACCTGTGCACATGTAGCTCATGTCAAAATACCAGAGAAGACAAACTGTTGATTTCAGCGTAGATAAACAGGTCAAGTGCAAGCCTGTAGGGGAGCTGGATGTGCATTTCATTTAAAATTGCAGATTAGCATGTTTTAAAATGCTTAATTAATCTATATGCTAATCTGAAATAACACATTTGAAATGTAACTAATGGTAGGCAGCTGCAAAATGCCTTTAATCTGGAAAAATAGTAATTTCCGGCCTGTTATTTTGTGTCCTTTCAGCATAACTTAAACTGATGCAGATAAAACACTTTTACACCATAGCTCAATGTCATTGTAGATGGCTGTATCTTATATAAAGAATTTCTGAGCTGTTTGATGCGGTTTTTGATCTTCCAGATTACAGCTGTGGCCATGTTGGCCAGCTAATCAATTGAACTATTTTACCAAGACAAAATTATCTGTTTCCTCTGAGGAATTTTCATGCATTACCAAGACAGCCTAATGATAGAAAATGTTAGACCTGGCAGGGTACCAAAGCTGCCTCAGAGCCTCAGGTAAAAGGGATTCAGTCCATTAGGAATGAGAAGGAACTGAGCGCTCTTTTCTGTGTTACAACATGCGGGAAGCCTACATGGCTACAGCACTCTGGGAGTCCAAA